AAAGTAGGCTGGGAGCAGTGGCCCATGCCTGTACTCTGAGCGCTTAGGGAGGTTGAGGTGGGAGCATCACTTGAGCTCAGGAGTTCAAGACCAGACTGGGTAACATAGCAAGACCCCATCTTTAACAAAAACAAAAAAACAAACAAGCCAAAAAACTTAGCCAGGTATGGCGGCAAGCACTTGTAGTCCCCGCTTCTGAGGAAGCAGGAGGATCACTTGAGCCCAGGAGATCAAGGCTGCCGTGAGCCATGTTTGTGCCACTGGACTCCAGCCTAGATGGGAGAGCGAGACTCTATCTTTAAAACAAAAACAAACAAAACAAACAACAAACAATAGGGTAAATGCTATCTCCCTTTAATAACTAATTTTCAGAGTAACAAACTGGTAATAATAGTCACTACCAATGATGGAAAAATCGCTTCCCTCTTCTCATTCTCTCTTCTCTATACTACAGAGTAGATTTTTATTTATTCAGTATTTGTAATCAATAGTATTCATTTTCTTTTTGATGCTAAAACTGCCCTAAATTTGGCCTGTGGGACATCCTTCAAGCTGACTGAAAATACAAATGGACAATGGCCACAATATACATAAAAATAGAATTCTGGCCCATTACCTGCAACAACTAGCCCAGTAAACCAATCATTTATCTACCATAAGTGCTGTACTCCCAGCCTAAAAGCCAAACCTGCTATCAACCAGACTTGTAGTAAGGCAAACTGCTATCTCTGGTAGCAATCCAGGAAGCTAAATAATAATTTCTATGACATCAGCTCAAAATGACCAGGACTTGATTAAAAATTAACAGCTTCCCTAATTTTTGTCCCCACTTCTAGTTTATGACCATCCAGAGAAAGTCAAATATGCTCCTTTAACCAAGCCCATGGAACACCAACTTCTAGTTAGCTTCCAGCTTCCGCATGCGACAGCTTCCCATCAGGCATTCCTGTGAAACCTTCCCTTGTCCACTGTAAAGCTTTCCCACTCCTCTGCATGCCTTTGAGCCTCTGCCAAACCGTAAGTGATGGTGCTGACTCCCTTGCTACAGCAAGTTCTCAATAGACTTTGCTTTTCTCATTTGGTTTGCCTTGGCTTATTTCCACATTTTATTGAGGTATAATTTACATGCAATAAAATGCATCCTTTATAGTGCCACAATTTAATGAATTTTGAAAAATGTATATATCTTTGTTAACCAGGACACAGAACATTTCCATCACCCCCAAAAGTTCTCCCATTTTCCTTTTCTCTTCCCCTCCTAGCCAACTACTGATCTGCTGTCTATCACTATGGATTAGTTTCGTTAGTTCTCCTAAACACTGTTGGCATAGTCTCATTGGTCTAAGCACTTCCTTTGCATTCAGGCACAATGAAATACCTGGCTCAACTCGTTTTTTTCCCCAGCCCAGAGCTGTAATCAGCCAATTCTCCAAGGAGCTCTGGATCTCTTTAGTGGGAAATGGAATTCAGAAACCAAGATCTGGGTGTTAGATGTGCTCATTGTTACTGCAGGGTGACCTTGCCTGTACATCCTAGTTCGCCTGGGACTGTTCCACTTTTAACCTGAAAGTCCAGCATCCACAGAAAACCCCTCAGTCCATGGCAAACCAATTAGTCACCCTAGTGCTTCTAGGCCCTTTCAGTGCACAGAACTAGGAAATTTTATTTTGCAGTTTAAACTTTTTTTCTTCTTTCTTTTTGATAGGATCTACAGCCCAGGCTGGAGTACAATGGTGAGATCACAGCTCACTGTAACTTTAAACTCCTAGGTTCAACTGGTCCTCCAATCTCAGCCTCCCAAGTAGCTAGGACTACAGGCATAGGCTACCACCCCTGGCTATTTTATCTAAACTTTGTAGAGCCAGGGTCTCACTGTGCTGCCCAGGCTGGTCTTGAACTCCTAGGCCACTTCGGCTTCCTAAAGCACTGGGATTACAGGTGTATGCTACTGCACCCAGCCCTGCAGTTTAAACTCAATATTACAGACTTTTTTGAACTTCTTAAAATTTTTGATATTAGTTTTTTTCAGGATCAATGAACGTCTTAAAAATTGTTTTAAATTTAAAAAAAAAAAAAATGGAGACAGAGGTCTCTCTATGTTGCCCAGGCTGGTCTCAAACTCCTGGACTCTAGTGATGCTCCTACCTTGGCCTACCAAAGTGCTGGGATTGCAAGCATCAGCCACCCAGCAGTTCAAACCAGTGTTCTTCAAGGGTCAACTGTGTATCCTAATGATGAAAAAAATGCAAAGGAGCTTTCAGCTTCACTGATTTATGATTGACTAATATCGTTAATGTGGTTTTCAAACTATGTACTGTATGTGGTATGATGGGATAACATAAGTACTGTGTACAAAGACTTCCAGTGCATGAGAATGAGATATAAATACAAGATCAAAGAAGTTCAGAAAAAGGCCATGTGGCTGAGGCCTGCAGTCCCAGCGCTTTGGTAGGCCAAGGCAGGTATGCAGATTTCTGAATATGCCTGCAGAAGGTCCTACATCCAATCTCCTGCATATAAGGAGGAAAGACTACACTATCTCAACACAGATACACTACTAGAGAGACTGTGTTCAAAAGCCCCAAGGGGCCGGTTGTGGTGGCTCACACCTGTAATCCCGGCACTTTGGGACGCCTAGGCAGGAGGATCACCTGGTGTCAGGAGTGAGTCTGGCCAACATGGTGAAACCCCATCTCTACTAAAAATACAAAAATTAGCCAGGGGTGGCAGTACATGCCTGTAATCCCAGCTACTCTGGAAGCTGAGGTGGGAGAATTGCTTGAACCCAGGATGGGGAGGTTGCAGTGAGCTGAGATTATACCACTGCACTCTAGCTGGGGCAACATAGTGAGACTCTGTCTTTAAAAAAAAAGAAAAAAAAAAAGGCGTACTTAAAGAGTTTTCATTTGTTTCAATTTGCTTTCAACTTTGGGGTTTGTTTACTTTTTTATTTACTTGTCCACTATATAAAACTAAAAGTTCAAAGATAAATAAGTCTTGTTTCTATCTCCCCTCCACTCTTGCCCACCACTCTTTATAGGTAACTATTTTTTTTTTGTTTGTTTGTTTTGTTTTGTTTTTTTGGGGGGGGACGGAGTTTCGCTCTTGTTACCCAGGCTGGAGTGCAATGGCGCGATCTCGGCTCACCGCAACCTCCGCCTCCTGGGTTCAGGCAATTCTCCTGCCTCAGCCTCCTGAGTAGCTGGGATTACAGGCACGCGCCACCATGCCCAGCTAATTTTTTGTATTTTTAGTAGAGACGGGGTTTCACCGTGTTGACCAGGATGGTCTCGATCTCTTGACCTCGTGATCCACCCGCCTCAGCCTCCCAAAGTGCTGGGATTACAGGCTTGAGCCACCGCGCCCGGCTTATAGGTAACTATTTTAAGTTTCCAGGATATCCTTCCAATCCCTCCTCCCAAAATAAGCATATATACACAAATAGGCATGTTAAATATAAATATTTTTACATATTAAGATATATAAAATAAGCAACACATGGTTATTTTCTGAATCTTTTTAAGGGCTGCATTGTATTCTATTGGATGGATGCACCATTCCCTATCTGTTCCCTATTAATGGATATTTAGGTTATCCCTAACTTTTGCTCTGACAAATAGCACTGCAATAACCTTGTATACATACTGTTTCCATGTGTAGAGCCGTACCTTCAGAATAAGGTTAGGCTTAGAACTGCAAGGAGTAAGAATAAACAGACGTAATTTGTACGCCACAGAATTTGAACCATTTTTCCACTCCCACCAGGAAGGTAATTTCAATGTGTATTTCCATTGTAAGTAAGGTGGAGCACCTTTCTATGTTTAAGGACCATTACTGTATTTTTTTCTGAGAATTATTTGTTCATGTCCTTCCCCATTTTCTCCTTTGGATTTTGGACTTTTTGTTTTCAATTTTTGAGAGTTCTTGTGATACAAGGTGCGACTTTCTCCAGTCTGATCTGATTCACGGGAAATATACTATGACCATCTGGAGTGTACTTTAATCTTATCCTTATAAATCACCTTACTACAAGACACTCCTTTGGGGATAAACAGGTTTGATAAAGCCGGCTAAGGGCAGACCAATCGAAAGAATTACGTGATCCTCTAGTAAGTGTTTAGAGACTGTTCCACGTTCTTGAGGTAACACCGTCCCGTCCTTACTCGGCGATTCAGATGGCGCAGTCTTGTTTCAGGGAGTCTACTCGACTTGCAGGACCCCTTTGATTGGGTTCACTAAGCCCCTCAGGGCCGCCTTTCCCTCGTTAGAGTCAGCAAGGCGCCCTCAGTGCCGCGGTCACAGCGCAACCTCCGACGTCAGAGAACAATAGCTCCTCGATACATCCTGGGAGAGGTCAAGGAGGAGCAAACCCGGCGGCCAGGAGGCTACGCCTTAGGACAGAAGGGAGGGAGGGCATCGGTTTCTAAGTTCTCAAAACTTACAGGTGGGCTTCTGCTAAGCATAAACGCCCCCGGCTCGCCGCCCACGGCCTCTCTTGAGGAGGCACCTGGTCCTCCGACACGCGGAAGCATCAAGGATGGGTGTAGCGACCACACAGCTGCCAATCACGCGCCGTCTTCGCCCAGATCCCTCCGCACGAGGCCGTCCCGCAGCCCAGGTGGCCGCGGCCAGTGCGTCCACCAGGCGGCCACCTTCCCTTCCCGTCATGCCCCGCGGCTGACCTCCGACCTCGCCGGCCCGCCCCTCCAGCAGCTTCCCTTCCCGCCCCCACCGCGTTCGCTGAGCTCCGGCGGCCGCGGGGGCGCGCGCTCGCGCCAGGCTCCTGGGAAAAGACTCGGTGTGTTACCGGGGAGCAGCTGCTCCACTGCGCCTCGAGGCCCCGATCGGGCTAGGCCAGCGGCCGCCCTCCCCTCACTTTTCTTCTCCTGGCGGGGGCCGGCGGCGGGCGAGTGACCGCGGCCACGCCTGAAAGGCGACTCTTCGGTGAGTGGGCCAGAACGCGAACATGGCGGAGCGGTGAGGCTGGCGGGAGGCGGCAGGCAGCGGCGCTGGCAGGCGGTGCGTGCGGGCCGGGGTGTGGGGCGGGGCGGGGCGGAGCGGGGCCAGGCGACGGGGCGGGGCCGGGCGGCGGGGCCTGGTTTCCTCCCTCAGCGCCATTTTGTGGCAACGAGACCCGCAAATAAAGGGGATCGCTGGGGTTGGCGAGACTAGGAGCGCTGCGGAGCCGGCGGCAGAGCGGTCCGGCTGCGCGGCGGCCCGGGGGGCCCGGGCGGCGGGGCGAGCAGCGCGGCCTCGGCCTCCGCGACTGGCGGTGCCGGCGCGGCTTCCGTCAGGAGAGGTAGGTGCGGGCTGGCTGGCGGGAACGGCCGCGGGGGATCTCCCGGGCCTGAGGGCTGGGGCGCAGCGGCCCCAGGCCGGTAAGGGGTGGGCAGGGCCGGAAGGATCACTCAGGCCCCGGGCGGCACCGGTCTCTCGTAATGCGCTCTGTCTTCCCGCCTGCGGGAAACACTTCCGCCACTCCGAGGCCATTTTACCTCCGTCCCCGGGGCCCGGGGTGAGACGGGTGCTTCGGCGGCCGGAGAGACCGGCCATTCACGGAGGCAAAATGTTGCCCTCCCCGGACTAAGCGGCGGCGCTCGTCCTTTCCTCGCCGAGGTGTTGCCCCCTCCACCTCCCTCGGGCCTCTCCCGAGAACCTGGCGACACTAACGAGTTCAGCAAGAAAAAAATATCGTTCGTTCCCCATATTTCGTGTCACGCAGTAGGTTGTTACTGCAGATACGTTATCTTGTAGATTTCTGTTTTTAAATGAGTGCATGCATTCTGAGGAAAGAAACTGAATTATTTGTAGATTTTCGTGAAATCCAGTTCTCACCTTGGATCCCTGTGAGACAGTTAATCGATAATTTTTTTAACCGTTTTTCATAAGTCAGTGTGCACATAGTAGAAAAGCCCAAGTAGGAAGACACTTGGTGGTTTGATCCCAAAGGACTATCGTAATATCCTGTGATTATGTAAAAAAATAAAAATTTGATTTAGTAGGAAAATACTTCGGTGATTATGTTACAATTGGAAGTTGTATTTGTGTCCATTTTATCTAGTTTTTAATTTAGTTAATTCCATTGCTTCGGAAGATAAATGGACATCATAGATCCATCACAAGTTCTTGTTTTTTGTATTTTAAAATTTTGGCTATTTTATGATAAACATATTACAGACATTTAAAACCATAATTTAAAACTGAACGAAAAATATTTTCAAGGTGGGTACATTTTAATTCATTCAAGAAGCATCTGATTAGGCAAGGGAAGTGGGGAAAGATTGCAGTCCACAAGTGGGCTTTTAATAAGGTTGAGGTTACATTTTAAGGGTTTGGGTAGGTGTGTTTCTAACAGTGCCTTTAGATCTTAAGGTATCTTAAACACACACATAGTTTGAAAGGTAAGTATTTTTACGTACTTTTTCAGTGGCAGAATTTGGACGAGCTACCGAAATTTCTAACTCGTAGAGGATGAAAGTAATAATAGTATGTCCCAGGCACTGCTGATTTTTACATGGCTCCTTTATGTCTAGCTTTTCTAATTCAACGTTGAGTCGTGTTTGTTCAAAATATTTTTGTGTATTGTCTGTCAGAAATAAGCTGGTAGAGATGAAACAGAAAATGTAGTAGCCCTATGATGTGGAGATGAGCATTGTCACAATTTGTACAGTACAGAAAAGCATCCAAGATCTCTTACGGTCTTGTATGTAGTATTGAATCTCCTTGAGTATATCGTGTAACAGTTTTGATCATTATATATTTCTTGTTCTTCAAAATTGTATGTTAGTAGGTCCTTCAGCAAAACAAAACTGAAGATAGTATTTTGGTTTTATTCTTGTTTTTACTTTTCAAATTATTTCCAGTGCACTTTTCTGCCTCTAAATATTTTGTTTCTTGTGGTTACTAAGCTTAACACCGAAAAACTTTTCAGTGTCTTTATAATAGTATACTTAATTGTGTGTTACAAGGTGTTCCATCTGACTAGAACATAGTGCTATAAATATTTTCTGCCTTTGAAGACGTAGTTAGTAGAATTTAATTTTTTCCAAGTGCACATGAAAGTTGCCTTTTATGTTCATATTTTATTTGAAAAATCTGTTATTTGTATAGCATTTTTATTGTGCTGAAAGCATTACTATTTGCAGCACTTTGAGACAGGCAAAATTACGTTTTGCTGACTTGGAAAATGCAAGGGTTAAATGACTCACTCAAAATCACACATGACAGAGGGTAAAGAAAAGGTGGCCTTTCAGTACCTGATCAGTACCATGCTACTACAGTGTCTGAAGATTGGTTTCTTACATTCAGCTATGATTTGTTTCACCAAGGTACTGTGTTTTCTTATTGAAGTTGTGTTGGCTGGCGCTTGCCTCTGTTCAGAGGGAACTGAGTTGCCTAACTTTATGATGCTGAGAGCCAGGAAGCTACTGGGATCTGGGATGCTAGGCACCTAGGCAGTCTAAACTGAACTCCATACTAAGCTGTTTTTCTGTGTTAAGGAATCAAGAGTAGATGGTGGTCCTGATATTCTAAGTTCGAGACATATTATCTCTAAATTATCTACATGAATACCTGAAACCTTTACGTAATTTAAAAAGTAATTATCATGCTACCACATTTTTGAGGGGCAAATTTGAGGCCCTTTCCCCCAATGTATTAATTAATAACTGTTTTAATCACTTAATGACTCACAGTCATTTTCATCCTGGAAAATGGGAACTAACTTTGACTTTGAAAAGTGCTGTTATTAAATGTGTGACTCATAAGTACTGAGTATATTTTCTTTATTATTTTTCTTCAGGATTCAGTTTTAATTGACTCCAAATGATGATATGATCATTCTGTTTTTTCTGATACGAGAATAGATTGTTTGGAGAACCTGGAATATCCATTGTCTTCATGAATCTAGAAATGACTTTAAATGGTTGTTGTGCTTGTCATTTGCACTAAAAAAAATTGACCTGGGGAATACCAAACTTCTCAGTACATTTGTGCAGTGTGAAAGTCAGAATTATGAATTAGGTTATATTTTGACCAAATAGTTGAATGTTGCAGAAAGCTGTAAATTTTGAAGCTGTTCTAATTTGCCTTTTCCCAGATGATGCATTTGATTTTGTGGCATATCATGGACTTTTAAGGAAAGATTGACTTTTCATCAGATTAAAGTTGAAGGATTCTCTTTGTAAATGTTGAAGCTCTGAATTTCCCAAGTTGGATACCCTAAACAACTAGAGTGATCTTAAAAGTGACTCTAAAAGTTGACTTAGGACGTGTAGACATTTATCTAAAATCTGTATTTACCCCTGACTCACAAATGCAGAATTTTATTTTTGAACAAAATATCAGTAAAAAGCACCATTTATTTAAAATCTGCTCAGCGTCAAACTTGTTAAAAAATAAAAGGACATAAGCCAGTTTTAGAAATTTCAATAACTGCAGGCTGGGCCTGGTGATTCACAGCTGTAATCCCAGCCTTTTGGCTGCACAGGCAGGAGGATCAGTCAAGCCCAGGAGCCCGGGCAACCTAGTAAGACCTCATCTCTACTAACAAAGAAAAAAAAAAACTTAACTGGGCGCACCTCTGATCCCAGCTACACAGAGGCTGAGGCAGGAGGATCACTTGAGCCTGCAGTGAGCTGTGATCAAGTCACTGCAGTCCAGCCTGGACGACAGAGTGAGACCCTGTCTCAAAAAAATTTAAGTAACTTCTGTTTAGAATTCTAAATATTGGAGATGCCAAGAATTTTGCAGTAAGAGTTAGAAACAGTCATGAGGACAGTATGATTATTATCCTCAACCTGTGAATTATCTATTCAGGTTTTTCAAGAAACACTGAGTCTGTGTTTTTTATGGGAAAAAGGAAACTAATAATTAAATGCCCATTTTCTTTTTTTTTTTTTTTTTTTTTTTTTTTTTTTTTTT